CATTTCAAGTATCGATAATCACATTTGACTATTGTATGGGACTATGTGGATAAAGAATATTCTATTGCACTGTGCAAAGCGCTACACTGTGGGTAGTGGGGAGCAGAAAAGTGGAGGTCAGGAGACAGAGAAGGATCTGGATTTAGGCAGAGAGATGTCCTTTAGTTTCCGTCAAACAGCAGACACGATTAGGTGTACATAGACACTCAGGTGTCCAAGGTGAAAGGACCTTTGTTTGACCTTAAATGAAGGCAGAGTGAGCTCTCCCGACTTGTAAAGGGGCCCTGGCAGGATCTAGGTGTCCTACTTTCTCCTTCACTACCCATACTGGGGTAGAGGGAGTGGCTGGGGCCTCAAGTCTTTGCTGTTTCCTTAGCTGCACAGCACCTGCCTGAACCCACATGTGACTACCAAGTACTTGAAATGTGGCTAATATGCCCAAGGAGCTAGATTTTCAATCGTACTTAATTTTAATGAATTGTAGTTTAGATTTAAATAGCCACATGTGGGTCAGGCTCCTCTGCTGGACAGACAGGTACAGATCATTCCTATACAAGTCTCTTCCACCTGCCTTCTCCTCCCTGTCTCCGTCAAGGTCAGGTATTGATTACCTCTGGTCTATCTTGAGATAACCTTCCCTGCCCCTCCCTCCCTCAAACTTCCCAGGCTTGATCCTTGGAAAGTCCCTTTGTCACTTATTTGATAGCTTCCTCTTCAACTGTTACTTCCCACTGGGACACAAAACCATAAACCATTGACCCTGCCACTTTTCTTACTTGCCCTCTCTTCCCTACCCGCCCCCCACTCCCCCTACCCACCCCCCAGTTTAGATCCCAAGGTTTAGCAACAAAACCACTTCCTGGCATATAGTCATCTCCCCTCCCCCCACCCCTGACTTTCATCAGCAAACCCAGCCCTGGTCAAATCCAACTCTCCTCCAGCCCCAAGCAATGTAAGGTGGCTGGAGAGAAAATACAACCTTGCTGAGTGGTCTCACTTGAAATATGGACCTCCAACTCAAGTGGGCCCTCAGTGCTATCCATACCTTTCTCTAATAATTCTTCCAGTCTTCAAGGAGATTCTTTCTCACCTTCTCCTGTCTCCTTGAATACCAATAGCTCCCCCCACCCATACAGCTTTTCATTGCACAGAGGAAAGAAAAATAATCTAAATTGATCTCATCAAACCCAGTGATGCAACCAGCACATCAGTACTCGCTGCATATTGGGAAAAGGTGCAATGCGTGTGTGTGTGTGTGTGCGTGTGCACGCGTGCACGTGCAAGTGTGTGCATATGTGTACTAGAGAGTTAAAAGGTACCACCTCTTCGGGTAGATCAATTAGGGAAGGTACCCCTTCTTCTAGGCTGATGTGATGCCACGGCGGTAGGGAGAATCAGGGTGAGGTTGTGGGCAGGGTCGGTGAAAGTATTGACTAGAGGCAGAATGGAGAACAGGAAAGGCGGATTTATTGAAAACAATGCTGAGAGTTGCAGAGGAGGAGTCAGGAGAAGTTGTCCATATGGGAAGGAGGGTTTAAGGTTCTCTTTTATAACCTGTTACTGCTGGGACCGCGGGTCTTGGGTGTGGACCTTTGACCTGGCCCTGCATCAGCACTCATAGTCAAGTTGATGGTCTACCTTGGTTCCCATAGCAACTGTATCTATTTCTTTTATCTATTCACATCTCCCAAACTTGCCTGCTGGGCAAGGGATGGGGGCATAGTTTTTAATCTTAGCAATAATACTAGGACAGCCACCAGGGCACATAGCTGGGCTGGCAGAACAAGGGCTGGATTTTGACTCCCACCTGCCCCCTTCTGCTCAACAATGGCTTGAGCAAGCTACCACCAAAGGTACTGCCTGACTGACCTGCATTTGCAGCCATAGTCTTTGCCTTCTCTCCAAAAACAGTGTGCGAACATAGGGCCTGTGCTCCTATCCAATCCCTTCATTACCAAGCGAGGTCCCATTGCTTCTCACCTACTAAGGACAGCCTTTCTCTGCTCTTCACCTCTTATCTTCAGCCCCATCACCTTTTCCTCTCTAAAGGAACATTCCAGTATACTAACAGGAGGAAACATTACCCATCCTAAAATACTCTCCCATAAGTCCCAAGTATTTCTGTGGCTACTGCCTGTTTGTCACTTGCTCTTCACAGTAAAGTTCAAGAGCAGTTTGGATTTTGGTATAAACAGGGTCTTCCTCACCTCCCATTCTCTTTTTTAACACACCGCAGCCAGACTTTCACCCCTAAGACTTCATGGAAACTTCTTTTATTAGGGACATTAGCCACCTTCATCAGGTCAAATCCAGTGTTCAAACTCTCAATCCTCTTCTTATTTATTTCAGCAGTATTTGATAAGACTGATCACTCCCTCCTTCCCGATAAAATTCTCTTATCTTCCAAGACTCCACCCTCTCCTGGTGTTGCTCCTGACTGGTACCTCCTCCTTTTCTACTTAATTGCCAAGTGTTCAAATTCCTTTTAGCCCTGACCTCCAGCTAGTGACTCTCCTCCTTAAGAGATTTTATGTAGAGCTAAGGCTTAAAATGCATCTATGTGCCGATGAGTCCCAAATTTCTATCTTCAAATTCACATGTAAAATTATTTATTCAGCATTTCCAGTGGGATATTTAACAGGCACGTTCTGTAGAATGTACAAAACAGAAACCACCATTCTTCAGGCCCAGAATCTACACATCACGCACTTTTTTTTCCTTCACAACCTCTCTACTAAATCCATTCCAGTTCAAAATGTATATGAATAGCCCTTTCTCTGCTGCCCTCCCAGTCCAAACTAGCATAATGCCTCCGGACTGGTCTTCCTGAGGGCATCTGTGCTTCCCTCTGTGTATTTTACACGGGCTACCAGCAAAAGTAACTTTTCAAAATGTGAATCACCTTCCCTTTCTGTTGCCATTTTTACCAGCCCATAAGGCTCCATAGAGATCCCCTCCTCCCTCAGCCTACTACTACTACCCTCTGGCCAGCTGACTGCTCAACCACACTGGCCTTTGCCGTTCCTGCAACCTGCCAGGTGTATTCTCCACCCTCCACCACCTCCCCCCAAACCCCCTCCAGCTTATAGTTGCTATTCTTTCATCTTGGAAGGGTTGTCCCTGCCACCAGCAGCTCCTACCCCACCCCAGTCGTTTGCTAGTCTCATTTCTTGACATCATACCTGCATGCGCTCAAAGGCTTCCTCTGAGGGGTACTATCTGGCCATCTATAGCCACCGGTGCAATTCTGGCTTTTTCTTTAACTTAACTTACACTACCTGAAAATTTTGCTTACTTCTTTGTTGACTGTCTCCTCTCCTCCACCCTACTAAAACGCAAACCCGAAGAGGGCTTTGTCTGCCAAAGCTTTTAGGCCTTGCTCCTAAAACAGCACCTGGCACCTAGTAGGTGCTCAATTAGTCCTGGTCGCCTGCTGCATTTCCTCCACCTGCCTCTTCCGACACTTCCTGCTCTTATTTCCGGCTTAACGACTCCCACCCCCTCGCCCTATACACCCCCGCACCCCTGCCGCCCACCGCAAAGCGACTGACTCCCCACCCCTCCCGCGTCTCGCCCCCCTCCCCAGCTGCCCCACCCCCTCCCCGCCCGGCTCCTTTAAGCCGACTCAGGAGCGCGCGGGAAAGGCGGGGCCGAAGCCTCGCGTCGCCCACTCGGAGGGGCGGGGAGGGGCGAGGGGGCGGGGCCTGCGTGCTGCGTGCTGCGTGCGTGCGCGTTCCCGAGGCGCCGCCGCCGCCGCCGCCGCCGCCGCTCCCGAGGCCGCCGCCGCCGCCGCCGCCGTCGCCGCGCAGAGCCGGAGCCGGAGCCGCGGCCGCGAGGAGGGAGGAGGAGGAGGAGGAGGAGGAGGAGGAGGAGGCGCCGGACCCGGGGGTGAGTGAGGGGCGGGGAGCGCGAGCGGCCCCGAGGGAGCGGGGGGCGCGGGTCCGCCGGGCGCGGCGGAGGCGCGCGGGGCGCGGGTCGGGTCGGGTCGGGTCGGGCCGTCGCTCCCCGTCCTCCTCCGCGCGCCTCAGAGCCGGGCGGCGCCGGGGTCCGGCCGCGGGAGGGGCCGCGCGCGGGAGGCCGGGCCGTCGCCGCCGGGGCAGCCGCGCCCGCGGGGCGAGCCGGGCGGCCGGGCCGGGCCTGCGGGCGGCGGGAGGCCCGCGGCGCGAGAGAAAGAGGACATTGTGTCCCCCGCCGCGCCCGCGGGGCCGCGGCCCCGGCGCTCCGGCCCCGGACGGCGCCGCGGCCCTGAGGGAAGAGGCGGAAGCCGCCGCCGCCCCCCGCCCCCCGCCGGCCGGCCCGCCCGTCGCCTCGCGGGGCCCGTCCCGGGGGCGCCGTCCCCTCGGCGTCCGCCCCTGTCAGGCGCGGGGCTCGCGGGCCGCCCCCGCGCCCGGCCGGCGTCCCGCGCCCTCCCCGCCCCTCAGCCTTTCCCGCCTCTCCGCGTCGGCCGCGGCCGGCGGGGGGCTCGCCCGGGGCGCCCCTTCTCCGGGCGGCTGCGCCCCGAACGCTGCGGCGCGGGAGCCCCTCCCCGCGGGGCGCTGCGGGGACCGCGGGGCGCGTCCGCCCAGAAGCGAGGCGCCCCGCGCGCCGGGGGCAGGGCCGGGGGGACCCCGCGGCCCCCGGGAAGAGGCGCCGGCGTCGAGGAGCCGCGGGGTCCCCTTGGGCGGCTCGGCCGGTCCCTGCCGGGGCGGGCGGGCGGGCGGGCGGGAGGCCGCGGGGCCCGCGCACAGGTGGCCGGCGGGGCCGCTCCCGGCCTGAGGTGACGGCTCCGCCGCTGCTGCTTTTTATTTTTTTATCTTAGCAGCAGAGTTTCAGCTCTCGGCTTTAACTCGTGCTGAAGGGCGCCCGGGCTCACAGGGATGCTGCTGGAAACAGGATTTGGAAACTTTCTTTGGGTTTCCTGTCAGCGTGTGGGGGTGGGCAGCCCGCGCGAGGGCTTTTCCCTCAGATCCCCGCGATCTCCCGGCCTCGAGTAAGCGTGAAATCAGCCCCCCCCCCCCGTGCCTTTCTGTCTTTAGGATTTTCTGCAGCACTTTTTTGTTGTTTGGAAATAATATTTGTGGTTTTTTTTTGGTTAAGTTCTCTTTTGGTCTGGTGTGGCAGTGAGTCTGGCTGGAGTCACATGTCACCTCACGGTCTGGCTGCTGAAGAGTTTTGGGGATCTTGAGGCGCCGCACGCGGTCGGGGAGGCACTTGGTGTGGGTTGAATGATTGCAAAAGTGTGTGAGGATGCTGTGGCTTCCATCCTTTTGCGATGCAGCTGCTGTTAGGCTGTTGCATTTCACTTTCAGTTTGTAAAGGAGCGCTTCTTAACCTTTTCTAGGCCACTGTCACCTTTGGGAATATGCTGCAGTGTGTAGACGGTCTCTCGAGAAAATGTCACTGTGATTTGTGCACAAAGTGTTGCATTCCGTTCCAGAGACCCTCCGAAGCTGATCGTGAAGTCCAATCCCAAAAGTGAACCGGAACCCCTGAGCATTATTCAGTTCCTTGTTAAAATGGCTCGGGAACATTTGTTCGCCTGTGTAGCCGCAGGAATGAGTGTCTGCACTTACACAATAAACTTTGGGGTTTGAGGAACAAGATTGAAAAAGAACTGTTACAACAATTTTCTGGGGGAAAGTTCTCATTGTCGGTCAGTTTTAAACTAATACGCGGATGGCTTCCAAGAAGTAAAGATGATCAGTCAATTTTTTGACAACTGAAAATCATAATCGTGACTGATAGGTGATTTTTATTGTGCACATTCCTCCTTAGCAATGTGATAGGTACTTGAAAATGTTCACGAATCAGACTTGATTTTTCTTGTTCTCTTCCTAGTATGTTTATATGCTTGGCTTTTCATGAAGCGAATAGTTATTGTATCACCATTCATTATTTAACAAGTACTTTTTGAAGGCATAGTCTGTAAATAAAACCAGGCCCTTGCTGCCATAGAATTTATGTTCTAATCAGGAGAGATGGACCATAACCAGGTAAAATACCGAATATGTCAGATGATAAGAGCTATTCCCTGAAGGGTAGTCAGGAAAAACTTGAGACTGGAGACCTGAAGAAAAGGAAAGATGTGCCCTCTCTTGGGGAAGAAGGTTACAGGCAGAGAGCACCCCAAGTGTGAAGACCTCCTCAGTATACTTGGCCCCTCTGAGAAAAACTTGGAGACAGAAAGCAGGAGGGACAGTGAGATAACTTGAGGTTAGAGAAGTAACTGGGGCTGCTATCAGGCCTTGTCGGCCATAGTAAGGACTGTGGATTTGTTTTCCTTTGAATAAGATGGGGAGCCATTGGAGAGTTTTGCGTAGAAGAGAGACCTGTTCTGCTCAAGTTTGTGAGGATCATTGTGGCTACTGTTGGAGCAAGAGTGGAAGCTGGAAGACCAATCAGGAGGTTCCTCTTCATTGCAGTCTCCCTCTGTAATTTAAAATAGTCCACCTGCCTTTTCTACTATGCTGGTGGGCATATAGGTAGTTTCCTTTCTCCCCCTAATAAAACAACAGTGAAAATTGAACATTTCCGTGTATGCAACATTTTTCCCCCTTCGAAATATTTTCTTGGGGCTGATTTTTAGAAGGAATATGTATTTAATCAGTGTATGGATAGACTTGTCTTCTTGATGTAGCTATGATTTTCTTCAAAGAAGTTGTGTTACAGAGACAAGGACAGTTACTGATTTTAAGTGTCATGGCAGTGTCACTCGCATTGAGTATTATTATTTATACTTAAAATTAAGTTATCTTTTAGATTGTTAGATCAAATTTTCCAATAGCTTGACCATAGAGTCATGTGTTAGCAACAGGGGGACAGAGATGCATTAGACAGGGCCTCTGCCCTTAAGGATGCACATTCTGTTGTGGTTGTAGTCTAATAGTTAAAAATCTCCAGACCTTACCAGTGTTACTGTTACCCATGAACTTGGTTTGCATATAGTTGGTGAACTTTTCTATAAAATAGGTTTGTACTCAAGCCTCTGGTTTGGTTTTTGTTTTTTGTACTGATAATTCTTTTTTCTTACAAAGGGATTTTTTAAATTGGTATCTGTATTTAATTTGTTATGTATGTCTTTAGAATCCTACAACTGTGACAGCCCCATGTTTTGTACTTCGCAGTAAATTATGCAACTAGTACTTAGTTGAGGACTCTCAGAGTTGAATTTTTAAATTGTTGTAATTCTTTATAGTTATTCAAAACACAGAGACTATTGTTTCTGTTAAATAAGGTCAGCATTGGATCTTTGAAATTTTGTGGCTTATATGGGAGAATGATACCAGTCTGTTTTGATAGAAATTCATACCACTGTGAGGGCGTTGCTCAGCATTTCTGCCCCTCAAATCTGGGTGACTTAATTTGGCCTGAACTGGAACTCCGACATCCATAAGGTGAGGGGGTTAAACTAATTGAGTTACCTACAAGCACCTAACACCATGTCTGACACAGGTTAGGAGTCCAGCAAATGTTCATTGAACTTAAAATTCTCTTATTTTAAATATTTGATAACTCATATTTAGATGTAAAAATAACTGGAGTTTTCATATCTTAATGTTGTGGCAAGTTTAGAATTGCAAACATAAACTTCTTTCACCTGATGTACCTTTTTAAATTAAATTCAGCAGTTTAGAAAGTTGTGGTGGCATATTTTCAAGTATTTTCTGCTCATTCTGATGTCATATCATATAGTTTATGACTTAAGGCCTCATTCACATCTTATGGAAATGATTAGTGTTAAACATAAAAATACTTGTTTTCATAGGAAGCAGAGATAGCTACAATTTCCCTTTTTTGTGCTTGAAATTTGGAGAGTACAAGCAGCTTTTATGTACTTTTTTGATCTTCCATATACAGAGGTATTAGCCTTTTCACATGCTGAATTTTTGTAATACGTTTTTATGGGTTTGCACTGAGCAACACACTCCCTCCAATTCCCTTGGCACACAGCTTTGAGATGACTGGTTAAGAGGGCAGATTGTTTCAAAGTTAAATGATCCAGATGAGTATTGAACTTAAAAGCTTCGCTTATCATGGTGTTCTGATCAACAGAGCAGTTCAACGGAGAACTATGCCATGCTCTCATTTCCGCTTAAAAATAGGCCTTTTAGAGGAAGAAGGTACACATATACACTGATAAAAAAAGGAAATTGTGTGTGAGGATTAATGTGGAGTTGAAACAAGAACTAGTGTACTTTTATAAGTGTTCTAAAAATAATCCTTTTACTATAATTTTCAAAAATATATACACAGAAGACTAAATATATTCTAGCAGATGAGCCAATCATTAGCCAAGTTAATGCCTTCTTTAAGCTCCTAATGACTTACTTATTTAAGCTGTATAGATTTAAGTTAGATTTATCTGGAAAAAATTGCTTTGCATATCCAGTTTTCCCAGATAAGAAATAAGTTTCCTACCTGTAGCCTATTTAATTTACATTGATAGAAAGTGGTTCACATTTGAAATTAAATATGTTATCCTATGTTTAGTTTTGGAATATAATTAAATCAGATCATATTTCATAAAAATAGCAACGTACTGAATTGTGCATATAGAAAAACGGATTAACTAAAGCTTAAACTATCTTACTTTGAACTCACAAAGTATACTTTACTGATTTAGTATGTACACTATAACGTTCATGGTTGTTTGCACTGCCATGTTATACTCACTGGTTGTAAAAAAATAATTTTGCTCAGGATAAAACTGTTGATTTAGTTTCCAGTGATAAAAGTGTAAAGCTGGAGACACAAAAAACTGGATACAACTGTTTCCTTGGACAAATCCCAAAGGCAGCTTGTAAGATTCTAAGTTAGTAGTAGGAAATTCTCTTATTGTAAACTAAACATTTCAGATCTCTCAGATGTGTAATCAGGAGAGTAAGTTCACTCACTGTATTTTCAGTGATATTTTTAAATTCATTTATAAATAGGATCATTCTGTTGTAGGCGAGTTGGCTGTATTATAGAACATTAAGCAAGCAATCATAACTTAATTATTTTAGCAGTTGAAATTTACACTGATCTTTGGACTTCATGTAGTTTTCAGCAACCTGCCCAAATTTTGATGTTTTTTGAACTACCTTTTAAGTGTCACTGTATACTTATGAAAAAGTCATATAATTCATTAGTAGATTTTGGATTTAGTCATTGGGCAGATGTTTAAGTGACCCAATATTAGGTTCCTTGATAGAAACTGAGATACAAAACTGTAGTTTCTACCTCAAGGAATTTATAGTTTAGTAATTTATTTTGCTTGCCAGAACCTGACATATCTTTATAAATGTTGCATTTTTATGTATAGTAAAAATAGAATGATATTCATTCTCTAAGTAAAATCTATATTTTAAGTTTTTCCTTAGTCACCCAGTAACTATTTCTGTGATCTTATTTTCCACCAGCCTTTTAGTATTAGAGCATGATGATTTCCCAGTTTAAAATGTAGTAAAATAAAAGTTGTTTGTTCTACTGCCTATTATACTTCAGTTCCAAAACGTGTGTGTGTGTGTGTGTGTGTGTATGTGTAAGTGTGTAAGTATAAATTGCTTTTCTGCATATATGCCACATAGTAGGGCAGTTTTTTTCCTGGTTTAGTTAGCAGTTTTATTTATTAAATTTTTCTTTTTATGCCATGTTTACTATAAGAAGATATTTGGAGGTCAGCTTAGTATTCTTTTCTACATTGATTAAAATCATCCTGTGCCTCTAAAGTTAAAAAAAATTGTGCGTGTAAACAAAATGCATCAGTGTGCATTTTTAGTGCATATTAGTAGGTTGTCAGCTTAATTTCCTCCCCCTTCTAGATCTGATTATGATGTGCTTATAAGGCAACAACATTAAATTTAGTTAAATCACAAAAAGTGGATAGTTTTTCAGTTTTTCCATTTTGCATGTTTTGAGTTGGATCAACTGAACATTTACTATTATGTATAAACAGTAAATGTGAGTGCTAAAGAAATTGGAAAGAAAACAAGCTTGATGTTTCCTTGCACTTGGAAATGTAATTTCTATTCTAAGTAGTAATGCCCTTATTAGGTTCAGGATCATTTTCATTTTTACAACTACTTTAAACATTTTTTTCTTGTTTAAAGTAATTCATGTTCCATTGTGGCAAATTTTGAAAATAACATAGCTAAATGTGGAATTAAAAATGACCCATACACCTATCACCCAGAGATAATGGCCATTAGCATTTGAATGTACTTTTTTTTTGTTGTTTTCTTGCATGTACAGATATTTTTATTTAAATAAATGGAATTAAACTTATATGGGCTGTCTTGTTCCTTTTCCTCTCTGAACAGGATGTTCGTCTCCTAGTGTTGAACTTTTAAGTTGATTCTTTATAATATTACTATTTTAAGTAACACTGGGGCAAACATTTTTGTACATTTATCTTTGATTGCATCTCTGTGTTTTTTTTTTTTTTTTTTCTTCCTTTAGGATAGATTCCCAGAAGTGGGATAACTGGATCAGAGGGTGGTTACCCTGTGTATAAGAGTGTGTGTCTCACTGCACCTTCAATGGCATTGAGTAGGTCAGTTTTTACAATCTTTGCCAATTTGATAGATATGTTACCAATCTTGGGTGGTAATTGCAAATTCCTTATATTATTAATAATTTGTAAAGCCATCAGAGTATATGATTAGTGACTTGTTGAAAAAGTTGGTTGGAATGAATTTCTTAGAAAATATTTTAGGTAAAGTTACAAAAAGATACTCCTTGAAGATACAATTTGAGCACTGTTCTTTTATTGGAAAGAAATAGTACTTTAATGGTCTCCTTTTATGAAAATGACAAACATGAGAAAACTTATACTGTGTAGCAAGTAAAAATATTAAGTAAAATTAAATTATTTCAAATAGGCAAGATGGGGTAGTCACATAGTTCAGACTGGGGAAAAAAACAGCAACACTTAGTTTTAGTGCAAAGACACTGGCGTTAGGCAGCCTGGGCTCCAATCCTTGCTCTGCCGCTTACTAAGTACATCGTGTAAGGCGACTTACTGAATGTATAATTTGAGGTAACTTATTAAATATATGATTTGATGTTTCTGAGCTTTGGCTCTCTCGTCTTTAAAAGAAGTAGTAATACCTCATACTTTCAAGATTGTTGAGAGGATTAGAAATAATGTGTAAAGACTGCTTGGCACATAGTAGGTATTTAATAAAAGCTATTGTTAAAAAAATGTTTTTGCCAGTTTTGGAGGGTGGGGTAAGAAATATCATTTGTGTGTCCTTGTTTACATGAGTAAACGCAGAGATGCGAAAGGGCCTCAAGCCAGGGCAGCTGGAGGGGAGTGGTGGACATTCCTCATGGTGGGGAGGGAGGAGTTAAGATCAAAAGTTAAGGACATGTCAGAGACAAGAGAATGACTTAATAGAAATCTAGGCTGTGTCATTGGGAAATATGGCGATAAGACCATAAGTACTGTTTGTGGCTCAACTTTGGAAGACTTTGAAAACTAGGTTGAGAAGTGTAGACTTTATTTAGGAGTACAGGAAGTTTTGATATGAGGGAAATGACCCTATCAGAGTATTTGTCTTCTGGAAGATGAATCCAGCTACAGAATACAGAATGAGTCAAGGAAGTAGGAGACTGAAGACAAAGAGCCTGGTTTAATAACAAAGGTAAGGCAAGATCTGAAGATTTCATGGAAAACAAGGAAAGGCTTTAGGGGGACTTGTTGGGAGTCACTGTAAGGAAGATCTCTGGATCTCCTGGTGTATCTAGATGAAATTCAAATGAAAGAGTCTCAGTTTAAGAGCTAGTCTACATGAGTTAGGCAAACTCTGAGAAAAGGTAGACTCAGTACACTCTGTTTGTCACTACCTCTTTTTGAAAATTGAGTGGTAAAAGATTACTGTTATTTCATCTGTGCAAAGCATGTGCTTCTGCTATTTCTTTGACATACATAGTTTGCAGAAATCTTTCATATTTAATATTTTGAGTTCTTAGTTTACTGGGAATTCTTACTAGTAGACATTGTATTTTTGAAAGTATTATTGTGAAATTATTTTGCATGTAGTTTTTTCACTGTTCATGAATGTTGTTGGACTTCTGTCACTTCTGTGAGCAAATGTGAAGAGTGAAGCGTGAACTTCATGATTGTTAATATAGAGGATAGTGAAATATGGAGCAAGGTAATGTAGGAAATAGACTGTATGATCTTTTGAAAAAGTACTACGTTAGTACTTCTGTCCTTCTTTCCCCCTTAATTTCTTAATTAAAAGGAAAATGAATAATGTCATTCACATTCATTCTAGTACTTGGCTCTAGTTCTACTCAGTTGTACTTTCTGCTTGGCTGACTGAATAAGATGGAAGCAAGTTCACCAGAAGATTGATATTCTGTCCTTTGACTGATGAGTAAACTCACCTGAGCAGTGAACTATCTGCTTACTGTCTTTTTTTAGTATTATCATTGGAGAAAAGCAACCTTCAATTAAAAAAAACAAAAAACACCACAGGCTTGTGATTCTTTCAAGGTATTTACGTGTTCTTAGCCAATGAGTTGTCATATCTTAATGCTTCTTTCAGTTTTCAAGTTTTTTCTAAACTCAGAAATAATGTCATTATTTAGCTATTTTTATTCAAATCTCTGCTCTTTAAGAGTCCTTGAAAACATTTTTAAATTAATAAGCATTTATAGCGTATTACATCGGGTATTGTATGTGTGTGTTAGATTTTATAAATATTGTGTTTTTATATGTGGAATTGCAAAAGCCCATCCATTCCAGCTGATTGATACTTGGTTAACTGCAATGATTTAATGTCACAAACTAAGATTCCTGATGAGTATATTTTGAATTGAAGATATTTCTGTCTGTCAGCAGAAGTCAGAACTAGTCATTCTTAAAGACTGATCACAACCTGTATCTCAGAACAGGATCTTTTTGGTTTGGGTCACTCTGTTACTGTGGCGGCGGTTATGGCTTTCGTGTCGGTATGTCTTACATTTTTAGAGCCTGCTTGCATCTTGGCAAAAAAATAAGTATAGCAACTCATGGTATACTATTACAAGAAAATTTATAATTTTATGTCAGTTATACCTCAATAAAACTAAATTAAGAAGAAAATTCATTCAGTTTTTGTATGAGATGGCATGAAGTGTGAAACTTGAATAGACTTACAGTCTTCTATCCCAAAGAATTGAAATGAAAGGAAATAAAGCCTGTTTGAATAGGATATCCAAAGAACTTTTTTAAAAATTCCTTTTTTAAATTAGGGATTTTGAATGCTCAATATAAATTCTTTTTTTTCTTAATTATTTTGTTTTGCTTTATTTTTTTTTTAAGATTTATTTATTCATACAAGCACTGGGTACAGTCAGAGGCACGGGAGGGTGAGAGAACTCTCCAGAGCCAGAGCAGAGAGCAGAACAGGCAGACTGACGAAGTACACTGCTGAGGGGAGCAGCGGGCAGCAGGAGAGGTCTGCGAGCCACGTGGGACCCTCTCCCGGCAGCCGGGGGATCAAACAGGAGCTGCAGAGGCTGTGGGCAGCCCCGCAACCCAGCACTCAACCGCTGCGCCACCGGGGGAGGCCCTCAATATAAATTCTTGACTAAGAAGTCAGAATCCTTCCCCAGAGTAATCTTAAAACAGTTTGGGTAGTCCATCAACAAATAATTATTGCGTGATTGTTTGGGTGCCTGCTACTGTTCTAGTAATTGGAGATAGAACTGTGAATAAGACTTGCTGTCATAGAACTCTATACCAATGGGGAGTGGTGGTATTAGAAAGAAAGAGTAAATAAGTAAGTGAGCAAGATAATTTCAGAGGTCATGGATACCATGAAGAAACTATAATAAGATGAAGTGATAGATGAACGAAGAGAGTTAGATATTGAGATGATGACACTGAATGTGAGACCTGAATGGTCAAAATCCAACTATGTGATGATCTTCAAGAAGAGTGAACCAGTCAGGGGACCCAGTTTGGTGCAAAAACCCTAAAATAGGAAGCTACTAGTCATGTCTGAGAGGGCTGTTACAGTAAGGTGAGAAGACACTGATAAGGTTAGCAAGTCACAAGTCACATAAGCCTGTGATGGATTTGGATTTGAATTTTGTTCTTAGAAATACAAAGGCAAGACACAGTATACCACTACCCACTTCTGTGGACAAATAAATTGGAAATGTAATGACACTGGCTTAAAACAGATCTGTAGAGTAACCAGTATGAACACTAAGCAAAGAAAATCTCAAATTTATAGTACATAGATTATGTTTTTCTCAAGGGTTTACAGAAAATCATTTATACTGTTATTAAAAAAAACTTGTGAAAATTGTATGTTTGCTCTCTGTGGATTTATACTAGTGAAATACTGTGTGTCTTTGCTTTAACCAACGCTTGTATTGACTCAAATCCTTGACGCTAATTACTACAACTCATTCATTGTGTTGATTTGCAGGTCGTTAGTAAAATAAAATATTCGTGCTTGTATCCCATTTAATCTCCCCAACAAATGTGTGAAATGCATATTTTCATTGTCCATTTTTTTACGGATGACAAAACTCAAATTGTTTAATTGTGGAGAGTTACACAGCTCTAATTATAGAGGATAATACTGACAGCAAACTTTCAGAAGAGCCACCACAGTACAAAGCACAAAACAGGTGACCAATAAATATCTGTACCTTGCTTGCATGCAAACTTGAGTGAGTGAGTGAATGATTAAGTGAATGAGTTTAAGTTTAGAGTTTTTTAAATGAACCTTACTTATAAGAATGGATGCCAAAGGGGTGAGAGTAGATGTAGAGAATTGGGAGGATAAAAGAGACTTTGAGTGGCAGGATGAGAAAGGGAAAGGATTTTGATACAGAATGTGACCTTGGGGAATGGATACACGAGGGAGTTGCTTGCTGGATTGCGGAAAAGAAATTTATTTTCACAAGAAATGAAGTTGATGAAATGAAGACTGTGGGAACATCAGTTGATGTTGAAGATGTTGAATGGGTAGAAAGAACACCTTGGGTTAGATCTGGTGGCTTATGGGGACCTTCAGAGAGGATGTGATGAATCTCACCTTTTGTGACAGTATCACTGCTTCTTGAAGTATAGGATCTGTCTTGTTGGTTTGAGGTGAAAGTACCAATAAACCTAGATAGGAAGAAGGTTGCTTTTGTGAAGAAGGAACATATTTTACCATTTGCTTTGGGTTGTTTGAGACTGAGGTTATAATATGACAGATTTATGAAAGCTAACCCTACAGATACTTTTGTTCTTGGTATTCTCAAAGTGCCCTTTGTTTTGTCTTCTCCACCTCCCCCACCCCCCAAGATTTCTGTGACAGCTTTTAGACTGCTCTTCTATTGTATCCTGCTATTCTTCATTTTGATCATATTATCAGTTTAATAATTACTTACATCAACCCTGGTATGAAATTTTCTTGCTTCAGAAAATTGTTTATATAAAGAACAAATAGCAGTTTGCTCTGTAGATATGTATATATAAAAATTGAGGTGGATGAAACATTTTAAAATTTATTTAGAAATATCAGATTAACTTAAAAACCACGGGCAGCTGAATTTGCA